GTGCCATGTAGCAGGTGCTTAATAAATGCTTGCTGACTTGACTTCATGTGGACGTTGGTACTTGAACCATGTCTTGAAAGGCTTCACATATGGCTCCAGTGATAAACATGAAGGGGTCATGGACTACTTATATTAACCATGCCAGTGATCCCCTCCACTAGTGCAGATAATTCATTATTTGTTATAGTATAATGAGAAAAGGAAAAATAATAATTTTCCCAGCCAAAGACATCTGCATATTTCTATCCCTTCCCAGAAGCCTTCAGCATTCAATCAAACCTTAACAACCTCTGAAGTCCTAGAGTTCTTATTGTTTGTAGCACTGTTTTGGTGATACCTAGAGTTGTTATTAGATAGGTTGTTATTAGATTTAGAGTTGGGAGAGGGATCCCAGGGGCAATCTAGTACAGCACCCATAAGCATTGATATTACTTCAAAATGGCAAATGGGTGACACAGACAGTATAGTCTAACCTCATCTAATTGGCATGGGTCTATACCCAAGTACAAGCCTTGAGGTATATATTTGACTTTACAAGGCTCACGAGTCTCTGCTCAATATATAGAACACAAAGGAAAAGTGTACAATAATAGGCCTGGAGGGCATGTGTGATGATGAAGCATCATGGTACCATCTCCGGAAAAATTTCTGTAACCACTGAGATCCACCTGTCAACAAGATGGTTCATATATGTTTGTGGTTTCTTCAAGGAATTTCTGTTTCTGGCATTGAAAGAGATCCCTGGTCACTAGCCTCGTTAGATTGCCTTTCACCCACCACAGGGCATAGTGGAAAGAGTGCTGGATTGGAGGTCAAAAGTTTTGAGTTTGAATCTTGGTTCTGCCACTAATTATCTATATGACCTTGAGCGAAGCCCTTTTTTTTTTTTTTTTTTTTAAGATAGTTGGGGTTAAAAGATTTGCCCAGGGTCACACAGCTAGTAAGTGTCAAGTGTTTGGTCTGGGGTCAGATTTGAACTCAGGTTGTCCTGACTCCAGGGCTGGTGCTCTATCCACTGCACCACCTAGCTGCCCCTGCAAAGTACTTCTTGCTAAGCCTCAGTCTCTCACCTATAAAATAAGAGAGTTGGACTAGATGACCTCTAGGATTTCTTACAGCTCTAAATCTACAATTGTACTATCTACTACACCTCCAACTCCCATTTTTCTCTTGCCCTCTCCTGTCTCAAATTGCTTTCACCTCATTTCCCAAGATCTGTCTTCTGTACTCACCTCACCCCCTTTGTTGTCACAGGTCCTTGTGCAATGGGTCTGCTACTATTAGCCTGAGAACACTTGATATGTTTTTTTTGTATTGGATTGAACAGAGAATAGAGAATTTCCTCATTTACAAACCAATTGAAAAGGGCTTATTTCAAGCACCTCCTGCCCATAGGTCCCTAATGCACATCCCACCATCTCCCTATCCACACGCACACACACACACACACACACACACACACACACACACTCTCACACAACACTTCTAAAAGATGGATATATTCCTCACCTTAATATATGCCCAAGAAATTGGTAAAATGGCACTGGAGCCCCAGGGAGAAGCACTGACAGTACCCAAAGGATGCCCATCTTTATCCACCTTTATTGGCATGACTGGATGGTTTGGTAGAAAAGGAGCAAGATGCTTCTTCCTAGACAATTAAAAAAAAACATGAAAAAAATGCACAAAAAAATACAGCAATTTCTTTATGTGGTTGACAATGAAGAAAGAGATCATAAGATCATAAATTTGAAGCTGGAGGGACTTCAGAAGCTCTCAACTCCAACCCTTATTCAAAAGGTTACTTGTTCAAGCTTAAGACAACAAAATGTCATAGTTAGGATTTGAACCCAAATCTTTCTGACTCAGAGCCCAGCCCTCTAACCACTTTACTATGCAGCCTCTCAGGTTAATAATTAATAATAGCTAGCATTTACATAGTGTCTACTATGTGCGAAGCACTATGCTAAGTGCTTTACAAATATTATCTCATTTGATCCTTTGAAAAATCTAGGAGGTAGGTGTTGTTGTTATCCCCATTTTACAGTTGAGGAAACTGAGGCAAAGAAATGTTAAATGACTTGCCTAGGATCACCCAACTAAAAATTTCCTTAGGCCAGATTTGAACTCATGTCTTCCTGACTCCAGGCCCAGGGCTCTATCCATTGGGCCACCAAGCTACCACTGGAGGCAAGGAGTTGTCATTAACTAACAAGTGGTGTGTATATACAAATATGTGTGTATATATATGTGTAGATATGTGTATGTATATATATGTATATATATCTATATACATGTGTATATACAAATATATGCATATGTGTATCTATATGTATATCTATATATGTAGATATACATATATACATACACATATCTACACACATCTATATATAGATACACACATATTTGTTTATATATACACACAGATATATTATCTCCATTGTCATACTATGCTATAGTAACAAACCCTCCTAGCTATATGTAAATGAACATACATACCCTCTGCATCCCTAAACCCCCTCATTTTATAGATGAGGAAACTGAGGCCCAGAGAAGGAAAGGGACTTGCTCAAGGTCACTCATACTATCTAAACAAATTAATGAAAGCAGCATTGTCAGGATTTGAACCAGGAAGGATTTGAACTTGCATTTCAAATCCAACTGTCTTTCGCCAAATAGAATCCTGCCAAGAAACAACCCTGAACAATCCTCCCACTATCACCACTCTTTTCTCAGCCAGCAGAGTTGGAAACTTTGCACAAGCTTCTGAATCCACACGTGTAACCCCAACCAAATGGGAAAAGCTTCATCTTATTCTCCCTAGTTGACTTCATTTTAGCTAAACCAGTGTATTTACATGTTCTCACCTTACCCCACGTAGGAGTAGGAGAGCTGGGCTCAATTATCTTAAGATTTTTGTTGTTGTTCAGCTGTGTCCAACTCTGTGATCCCATTTGGGGTTTTCTTGGCAAAGATACTGGAGTGGTTTGTCATTTCCTTCTCCAGTTCATTTTACAAATGAAGAAACTGAGCCAAACAGGGTTAAGTGACTTTCCCAGTGTCACACAACTAATAAGTGTCTGTGGCCAGAATTGAACTCAGGAAAATGAGTCTTCCACTTCACCATCTAGCTGCCCTATCTTAAAATAAACAATCCTAATTACAGGCCAAGAGCTAGATAAGTAAGTGGTCAATCATCTGCCCACTCTCACATCAGAATCATCTTTGCAAAGCCTTCAGGAAGTAGTTGTCCACACCATTTTTCACACAAGTTAATTTCAGTTTCACAGTCAGAGCGAGTTAACAATTAACAAGTATTTCTTGATGTTTGGTATGGCTTTGTACTTTGGTTTTATTCCTAGTAATAATGTTCTTTCCTCCCAGCTCATCAAATACAGAGTAAGACTCCAGGCGGGGAAAAGGTGAATTTTATAGATACAAATCATTGTTCAGTGTTGACAGTGGCTTGGTAGAAAAGCTTCACTTAAGTGGTAAGTCTTTTAGGGAAACGGCATCATTTTTTTTTCAGTAAGAAAAGTGCATCAGCCATTAAGACTTGAAATGAAGTCCATCTACCCTCAATTGCATTGAGCTATCATGAGCAGAGAATTGGCCATGAATAGTTAAAAGGCCTAGATTCAAATCTTGACTCTGCTATCCTGATTCATTCATTCGACAGACTTTTGTCAAGCATTTTTTTTTTTGGGTGGGGTGGAGGGGGAGGCAATTAGGGTTAAGTGATTTGCCCAGGGTCACACAGCTGGCAAGGCCAGATTTGAAATCAGGTCCTCCTGACTCCAAGGCCAGTGCTCTATCCACTGTATCACCTAGCTGCCCCCATTGTCAAGCACTTACTGAACTTGGTGAGGGAAGAGGGAAAAAAGGTCAATAAGACACAGCCCTTAATCTCATGTAGCTTATAATAAGGGGGAAAAATATACAAACATAATTATAATACAGAATATTGAAAAAATACATTGAAGGGTTGCTAAACAAAAAAACTACATGAGGTCTAGGGAGGGAAATTCTTTACCAACAGGGGTATCAGGGAAGGCTTCATGAAAGAGGTATCATCTGAGTTGAGTTTTGAAGTTAAAGAGGGCATTCCAGACATAAGGAACATTATGAACAATGGTGAAGAGACAGGAAAACACAAGATGTGTGGGGTGGTGGGGGTGGTGGTAAGGATTGGTAAGGGGAACTTGGGTGTACTCCAGCTTGGTTGAAGCATAGGACATAATATGAGATAAGACTAAAAAGTTAGTGCGATAACAGTCCTTGAATATCAAACACAGAAGGATTCATTTTACTTAGTGGACACAAGGGAGCCACCCTGAAGTAGGGGTAATATGATCAGATTGACATATGAAAAGGAGTATTCTATCAATAGTTTCAAGGATTGAAGGGGAAGAAAGTGGAAGTGGGAAGACTTTACTATTGAAATCATCCAGGCAGGTAATAATGAAGACTTGTACTGGAGTGGTGACATCTGGAATAAAGAGATATCTTGTGTGGGCGATGTGGCAGAGATTCAACGGATGGGACATTGGATATAAGATGTGATACTACTTGCGTAGCCTCCAGCAAATCACTTTTGCCTCTCTAGGCTTCAGTTAAATACTTCAGTTAAACTAAACAAATACTTGTAATTAGTCTATAAAATGGGGGAAACTGGCTTCAATGATATTTAAGATTCCCTTCGTCTATAAATATATATCACATAATAATCCTATTATCTAAATGCCAATTATGATTCCTAACAGCCTATCCAAATTCTTGACCTGCTTGCCAAGCTGAGTATCTTTATTATTTTGCATCTGAATCATCTCTTCTTCTACTAGATGCCATTCCTTTAGAATTTCAACATTTACCTAAGGACATCTGGCTTGAACTAAAACCCTCTCTAAAAATCACTGTTTAGTCATTTTTCAGTTGTATCCAACTCTTAGTGACCCCATTTGGGGTTTTTTTTGGCAAAGATAATGAAGTGGTTTGTCATTTCCTTCTCCATCTCATTTTACAGATGAGAAAACTGAGGCAAACAGAGTTACGTGACTTACCTAGGGTCACACATCTAGTAAGTGTCTGAGGCAAGATTTGAATTCAGGTCTTCCTGACCCAGCATTCTATCCACTGCACCACCTAGCTGCTCTGTCTCCAAAAATAATAAAAACAAAAACCATATGCTTTGTAGACACATGCTAATTGTTGTCCACATTACTGGACTATCCTAGAACTGGATACAACAAGAGTTCATCATGAGCAAATGACCTTTTTCTGTAAAGGAGTCCTTAATGATTAAGAGGCACTGATACTTATTGCAAAAGCAAAGATTAACATTTCTATGTGGGTTTCAAAGAAGAAAATGGGCATTTCAATCCTCTGTTATCTTCATGAGTAGTCACAGATAAGCAGCTAACCTGCCTTTAGCTTCATGGGATTAAGAGCTTTAGGAGTCAGAGAGAGGAAAGGTCTCAACCAGGATCACATAAGTAGCAAAACAAGAGTTACGTTTCAAACCCTGGTCCTCTGACACCAGCTCCAGATCTCTTCCCACTCTGCTCCACTGTCATTTCATTTCTGCTTTCCTATTATCAGTCTGAAAGTAGATGGATGAAGGAAGAGAAAAGGATACAGCAAATCTCCAGAGAGGAAGAATAGCAAGTCATCTATCTGACATATTGTATGCCCCCCACTGGAGTCCCAGAGCCATGCCTCAGAACTTACACACCAATGGGCCCCATTCCAGGCCCACCACCACCATGGGGAATGCAAAATGTCTTGTGAAGGTTTAAATGTGAGACATCAGAGCCAAAGTCTCCTGGACGGCAGAGTCCAACCTGTCAGGGAGAAAGATCAGAGATAACAGTCACTGAATGCAGAAAGGGAAACACCACAGAGAGTCTTTCTCCTTCCCAAAAAATACCCCTCCAAAAAAGAAGCCTAGATGTCAATACCTGTGTGCACACAGAAGAGGTGTTCAGAGACATTGGCTGATCAGCAGTAGCAAGTCAATGTTGATCACAGTACCCTCTTACCCCATCAGAGAAAGAGAGAGATGCAGGTCTAGGGAGGGTGGCCAGATGTGGAATCATTTTATGAGCTTTCATGAAATTTTATCAATACTGGCCCTTCCCTTTAGTAAATATTTGACATTTATGCCATCAGGTAGGCTTAGGGTTGCCACAAAAGCGAGAGGGTGTGCTTGTTTAGAAGGGGAATTGAAGAGAGAAAGAGAGAGAGAGAGAGAGAGAGATGTTTTGCATATATGTGATAAATATTTATATAGGGATTATTTTATTTATTGTATCTATGCCCCCAGCACATTATCTGACACACTGTAGGCACTAAAAAGATATTTGTTCATTGATTGATTGATTGATAGTTCAGAGGAAGAATGGTAGAGTGGCTGAAGAGGTGGCTAAAATTCACATCTGACACACACTGTGTGACCCAAAACATGTCATTTAACCACTTAACCTATCTCAGAAAACTCTAAGATTATACATTGCATAAAAGCTACAGACCTGCATTAGTAGAAAGAGTTTCCTCACTTGGGAATTCTCTATCAATGAAATCACAGGTCCAATCCCTAGGCCTTTGTATAGCTGATACTAATTATATACTCAGTGATTAGGTCTATGTGAAGGGGAAAGGGTCCCGATTTTCAAAAGTGGCAAAATTTATTACCTTGTTATTGGGAATACATCCCCATAATATCTTTTTCAGTCTATCTAGCTTCTTAATTAAGTTTGGCATGTTTCTGGAGGACACACACATTGGCTTATTGTTGTTCAGTCATGCCGAGCTCTTCATGACCCCATGGACCATAGCACATCAATACTGCCCATGGGGTTTTCATGGTAAAGATATTGGAATGGATTGCCATTTCTTTCTCCAGTGGATTAAGGCAAACAGAGGTTAAATAACTTGCCCAGGGTCACACAGCTAGTGAGTGTCTGAAGTTGGATTGGAACTCAAGTCTTCCTAACTCTAGGCTTAGCATGCTATCCACTAAGCCATCTAGCCGCCTTTACACAACTGGCTAAGAGACCTTAATTAGAAAGAGTGAAGCACCAAGGACTAACCATCATAGGACTTAGGGCTGGAAAGATCCTCCTAGGATCATAGAATCTAGAGTCACAAGAATCTTTAGGGGTCATCTAGTCCAACTCTCCCATCATTACTGATGAGAAAAGTAAGGAGCAGAGAAGGGAAGGGATCCAAGATCATTCCACCCTTGTCATCTTCCTCCTAACAAGAGTCCTATGACAGGTGCTGAGGACGCTTACTAACGTCCCTTCCTGTAATAGCCTCCTATCCGGTCTTCTTGTCTAATCTATCCCTCTGATGCAGCTTTCCATCCTTTGCACAACCACCAAAATAACCTTTTTTTATGTACAGATTTCATCATGGTACTCTTCTACTCAAAGAATTCTAATTGTTTCCAGAATAAAGTTTGAACTGTGTATCCTGGCATCCAAGGCCCTCAACAACCTCACACCGTCTAGTCTAACCATCTCATTTTTATGTTTGGGGAAACTTAGGGAGAAATTGGCTTTCCAAGGTCTTTTAGAGAGTGAGAAGAAAAGCTGGAATTTAAAACCAGGGTCCCTATCACTCTAAGGAAGAAAACGGCTGAGAAATAATAAACTGCCACTGATAAACTATGACAAAGGTAATTTTCACTGCATCAGTCTGAAATTCAATACCAGTTTAAGTCATTTCAAAATCATTCCTATTTTGAACATGGTATATGGTAACCATACTAAGCTTCAATACTTAACAAAGCAATGGGTACAGGGTTAGGTGTTCTCTTTCTAGGACTACAAAGCACTATGCTGTCTGTACACTGTGTCTTTAAAAAGAGTCAGTGTGAAGCACAGAGAAGGGGGGGAAATGATAGGAGGTGGCAAGCTCAATATATTCAGGAGACTATTAAGCAGATCAGGACAGTCTTCTACTCCCCACTGTGTTTTATCAGCAGAGCATGTTACAAAAACCGTAGAATTCATCAGCATCACCCCCTAGGACATGCATATCCATCTCTACTTTACAGTTGAAGAAGCCGAGCAGCTGAGAGAGTAAATGATAGAGCCCCAGGCCACTGATGCGTCAGCAAGCACCTCAAGCCGTAAATCTAGGAAAGAGGCTCTGGCAGCCCATCTTGACCAGAGGCTGCCCCCATAGGGCTCCATCACCACCTGCCAAGCTTGCTGGAGAAATATCCACTCTGGATTCCCAAATAGAAAGCAGTGAATGAAACCAGATGTAAAGAACACAGAAAAAGGCAGTGTGATGTAATCTTTGAAGTCAGAGGACCTGAGTTAAAATCCCAACCTGTGGGAGGAAGTCACTTAACCTTTTTAGGGTCCTCATCTGCCAAAAAAATTGATCTGTAAGGCCCTTTTCAAGTCTAAATCTATGAGCTTCAAGTCTATGTATTACGTGTTAATTTAGCCAACATAGGAGGTAAGAAGAAAAATAAAGTCTGATTTTTGTTTTTTGCCTTGAAATTGCAGGTTTATCAAAGATGACTCAGTTTATAGAGAGAACTCTTTTACATTCATTCATTCATTCAAAACACATTTATCAAGTGCCTATTGTGGGCAAAGTAATATGCTAGGTATTGGTGAAGATACAAAATTTAGACAATACATACTCCCCCATCAGGCTGTCAGGTCCATGAAAGAAGGGTTAGCCCCTTCCCTAAATGATATCCTAAACAGAAATCATGAAAACTACAAGATGTTACAAGATAACTTCAAAACACAGTTATTATAAAAGGTCCTGGGGGAAAAGAATCCCCATGGAGGGGTGGCCTCCATGAATTCATGAATTCAGCAGGCAAAGCCAGGGAGGAAAGATCTTCCAGGCATCAGACACAGCCTAAGTAAAGTCAGGCTGCATGGTCAGGGACAGAGAGAGTCATACTGTAATATGAGATGGGGCCTGAAAAGTCAAGTTGTGGAGGGCCTTGACTTCCAGGCAAAGGAATGGGAAATCAGTAGGAAATAGGCAGCCACTGATGACTCTGGAGAAGCAATAACATGACCAGACCAGCTCTAGGTAGAAAAAAAAGGTTGTTCATCAATACAAAAAAAAAAAAAAAAAAAAACCTAATAGAACGTAAACAAAATGAACACTAGAAGCTGTGTAATTGCAATGACTAATCTTGACCCCATAAAAGAGATGAAGGTAACTCTGACCTTTTCTCAGAGAGGTCGGGGACAATCAATACAGAATATTGCACATGCTGTCAGATGTGCTTACTACATTTAACAGCTTTGCTCAACTGTTTTTCCCTTGTTAAGAGGGAAGGATTATTAGGTGGGAGACTAAGGTAGGTACATTTCAGAACAATGGTGGTGTGAAAACAAAAGCATCAATAAAATTTTAAGAAAAGAAATATTGTTCTAGCAACAGTATAGAGAATGTTCTGGAAAGGACCGTTTAAGAGGCTATTAAAATCATAGAAGCTCTGAAAGTATTAAGATGTAGCAAGATGATGGCAGAAGGAATAAAAAGGGATAGACTGTCCCACCTGTGCATTCATGTTTGCTCCATCCAGGTAAACCTGGCCTCCGTGTTGGTGGATGAGATCACACACATCACTGATATTCTCCTCAAATACCCCATTGGTGGATGGGTAAGTGATCATGATGGCTGCCAGGTTCTCTTTATGCTTATCTACCTATAGGACAGAAAAATAGAGGGAAATAAACCATTTGTATCTCCTAAATAGATAGAAAAGTGGAATCCCAGAATTTGGAAACTGGAAGATCATTTAGTCCAAACTCTTCATTTCACAGATAAGGAAACTGAAATCCAGAATGATTGGGTGATGTGTCCAAGGTCACACAGTGAAGGAAGGACAGGGATCGGAAAAGGAATTTGGTCTCAACTTCAACTTCACTTTTCTACTATACACAGGGAAGTAGATGGAGCAACAGAGAAGGTACTGGACTTTGGAGTCAGCAAGTCCTGATTTCAATTCTGGCCTCAGACATTTGCTAACTGTGTGACCCTGGGAAAGTCACTTAAGCTCTGTCCCAATTTCCTCATCTATAAAATAAAGATAATAATAGCACCCACTTTTCAGGGGTGTTGTGAGGATAAAATGAGATAATATCTGTAACATGATTTGTTAATCTAAAAGTGCTGTATAAATACTAGCTGCTATTATGCTATTATGATACTAGTCTTAGACTTTTTATTCTTAAAATTGCCTGACATCCCATGAGTAGTAAGGACATCTAGGTTATAATTATGACTCATGAAGACACTGTAAAGAAAAATAAAAACACCTATTCTAGCTACTTCTCAACAGCCTAAGTTGGAGAAGGTTGCAGTGACTTGGACACAAATGACTCTAAAGAAGGGTTTGTTTTTTAATCTAATTTTCATAGTGTCATGGAAATGAGCAGAGGACCCAGAGTCAAGAGACCTGGATGTGAATCCTGGCTCTGCCACTTTACACCTATTTGGTCATGACTTAGGCAAGTCCTTTTACCTAAGCCTCATGTCTTCACTTGTAAAATTCGGATAATAGTGAAATACTTGTTAAGGTAGACCCTTATAAACAACTAAATGCCCTAGGCAACTCTCTAAGCCTGTAAGGTTAGTTAGTCAGTTGGTAAGCATTTATTAAGCAGCTAGTAATACCAAGCATTTTATTAAGTGCTGGGTATACAAAAAACAGTCCCTAGAGAAGATCAGGTGCCTTTGGCACTGGTAGAGTGTTTCCTCACTGCAAGTTTCCTTATTAACCAAAGGAATCAAGGCCCACAACAACCTTATTATTATTACTGTCTCAACCTTCCACTTTCCTTTATTTGGGTATAGTGAATCTAGCACATTCTCCTGTCCCCCCAACCCCAGGTATTTCCTTCTCTTCTTTCTCTGAAAAGACAGAGAAGTCTTGTCCTTGGCCTTCTGATAAAAGCACACATACACAGAAAAGCAAATAAGTTTTGTCAGGCTGGTGGGCCTAGGCATCATTAAGCAGGGGCCAAAAAAAATCAACCCAAAGTGATTACATCATATATTTAATAGTCTTATAAAATGCACCCAAAGGCAAAGAATGTTCATTAGAGAGACCTGAGGAAGGAAGGAAGGAAGGAAGGAAGGAAGGAAGGAAGGAAGGAAGG